GGAGGCGGCCCCAAAGAAGGAGACGCGATGCCAGGTGGCCACGAAGGCCCAGGTGGGCTGAGGGGCGGGGTCAGGGGGGGTGACAGCGATGGCCAGGTCACGAGCCAGGCGGGCCAGCAGCTCCGGCTCCTGGCTCTGCCGGTAGAAGACATCTCCTCCCAGTCTGGTGTCCACGTCGGCCCAGTATGGGGCCACGAAGGGGCGGTGGCCGGGCAGCGGGAAGGGTTGGGGGGTGAACTCGGGGACCCCCGTCCCAAATGACACCACTCCGTTGTTGTTCACCTGTAGGAGGCAACCGTCACCCCGTGGTGATCCACCCACGGTGCGTGGCCATCACCTCTGGTGGCCCTCAACCGTGGTGGCCCCAGCCGTGGTGGCCCCCCGCAGTGATGTGTCTTCAACCACAGTGATCCCAGTCATGGTATCTCCAGGCATGGTGACCCCAACCCCGTTAACCCCCAACCGTGGTGGCCCCAACCATGGTGGCCCCAACCATGATGTCTCCAATCCATGGTGGCCCCAGTCATCTTGACCCCCAACCGTGGTGGCCTCTAATCATGGTGTCACCTACCCATGGAGCCCCAACCATGGTCTGTTCAACTTTGGTGGCCCCCAACCCATGGTGGCCCCCAACCCCTGGTGTCACCCAACCATGGTGTCACCCAACCATGGTGTCCCCAACCCATGGTGTCTTCAACCATGGTGGCCCAAACTCATGGTGTCCCCAACCCATGGTGTCCCCTAACAATGGTGTCCCCAACCCATGGTGTCACCCAACCATGGTGTCTCCAACCCATGACATCCCCAACCCATGGTGTCTTCAACCATGGTGTCCCCAACCCATGGTGGCCCAAACTCATGGTGTCCCCAAAACATGGTGTCCCCAACCCATCATGTCCCCAGCCCATGGTGTCTCCACCCATGGTGTCCCCAACCCATGGTGTCCCCAACCCATGGTGGCCCCCAACCCATGGTGTCACCCAACCATGGTGTCCCCAACCCATGACATCTCCAGCCCATGGTGTCACCCAACCATGGTGTCTCCACCCATGGTGTCTCCAGCCCACGGTGTCCCAACCACAGTGCCACCCAACTCATAGTGTCCCCAACCATGGTGTCCCCAAGCCATAGCACCCTGAGCACCCTGAGCACCCCAACCCACAGCACCCCCTGCCCCTCCGTGCCGTGGGGCCCGGGACCCACGTAGAGGGAGTGGTGGGGTTGGCCGTAGAAGGAGAAGGTCTCCCGGAGGGGGATCTCGGGGCTCATCCCGTCGTCTTCATGGGGGGTGGCCTCGTCCCCAACCGCCGGCCCGTAGGGGTAGAGCACCCCACCTGCGGGGGGCACCCATCAGGGCCCCACAGTGAGGAGTGGGAACCCCCGCACTGGGGGTCTGGGACCTCCAGGGTGGCCCAGAAGCCCCCATGTCCCCACGGTGTCCCCAGTCACCCAGGGGGTCCCATGGGCGCCCCCCATGTCCCCAGGGTGTCCCCAGTCACCCAGGGGGTCCCGTGGGTGCCCCCCATGTCCCCACGGTGTCCCCAGTCACCCAGGGGGTCCCATGGGTGCCCCCCATGTCCCCACGCTGCCCCCACTC